GATATTTCTAGCTTTTTGTTGCTCATATCTGGCCTCTTCATCTCATCTTTGGTTTTGTTTAGTTTGTGGAAAAGAATGGTTTTACCTGCACATTTTTCCCCTACTAGTTTTGCATTCAGAAACTTAAGTTATTAATTATTCTCAAGCAGAAAGAGATTTCTCACTCTTAAAAGCTGGGGAGATTTTTTTTTGTTTGTTTGCTTGGTTTTTTTTGTTACCTAAGTAAATAAAATGCTGTTTAAATTCAGTACAGGAGATGTATTTGGGAATCTTTGGTGTTCACTGAAAAGACTGGAGCACTCCTGAACTTTGTAACCTTACAAGGATGGAAGGAGACTCTGAAACTTGAAAGTGCATTTACACTGCCATATTTTTTAAAAGATAATAAGAATTCTGCACTTTCATTCATTTGGAGAACACACAAATTAAAAAAATCTCGGTTGGTTTAAAATTCTCAAGCTGTTTTTTGTTTGGTAGGGGGTTTTTTTGTTAGTTTAGTTTTGTTTTGTTCTGTTCTTTGTTGGTTTTTTTCCCCCGGTTTTGTTTTCATTGTGATAAATGTCAAAGCCAAATAGTTGCAGTGTTGCTTCTCATTTCTTTTTCAGTTTTTAACTTACTGCTTCTTCTTCCTTGTCTCTTGGAGCCTTGCTCACCTCGTGTGGTGTTTTTGACACCATCTCAGCTTAACTTCTTGGACAGAGCACCTCACTTGTGCCCTTTCTTTAGTATCCTCTCCAAACTGTTTTTCTGCTGTTCTTCTTGAGGTTCGATTCCTGACATCTGACAGGTCTTTTCCATCATTGTGTCCACAAATTCTCTGTGTTTTCCCAACATGTCTCTTCTGGTTTTCTCAGCCTTCTCCATCTAGGAAGAAATTTCAGAAGAATGGGATGAATTTGAAGTAAAAATCTATTAGAAAGTGGTGATCACATAAATGCCAACATAGCTAGTTGTACTCAGCAACATAAAAAAAAAATCAACATATTTTGACGGAGTTTGTGAAATGAAGCAAAGTTCCTAGTAAAACTGCTTTTAGGAAAAGAGCTCTTCCTTGGGATTTACGCTTTAACAGAGAAGTAGATCCAGTATTTCCCTATCTTGGGGCAACCATTGGGCTGAAGATTTAACTCTCTTGAGCAGCAGTAAATTTCCCCAGAAAAGCTAAGCCTTTGCTCATTAGCCCAACCTGCCTAAGGTTTTCCTAGAATCATTTTCATGTGGCTGGTGTTTGTCTTTATTGATACTTAAAATGAGCTTGAAATTAATTGCTACAGACTGAAGTATCTCATAAATATTTGGAAATAAGCTAGCCAAGTGTTGCAGAAAAATGTAATTAAGTTATTAAGTTCCCTATGCTATAGAGGCCTCACTTGAAAGAGTTGAATTTTTATTCCTTTCCAAAGGGAGAAGAGCTGAAACTTGTAGAAATCTCCAAAGCATTTCTATGTCCTTTGTGAAAGTTGCTGCAGGAACACAAAATGTGATTGTTTCTCTGTAGTGAAACTGGAAGTGTTACTGTTCCAGTGTTTCACAGGATATCACAATATACAGAGGAACTTATGTTCATTCTACTTTTTTTCTGAACATGCTAATTTTCAGTGCTATTTTTCTTTTTCTTTTCCTCTTTTTTTTTTTTTGTAAACAACAGTAATCAATGACAAACATCAGCAAAAAGCATCAGAGATTGAGAAATTAGTTCAAAGTGATCAGTGGCAGCTTCAAGCAGAGCAACAAAGATGTGCAGTGGAGAAGGATAACATTCACAGAGTACACCTTGCTGAGCTAGAATTCCTCATTAGAGAAAAAGCTGAAGCAGAAATGGCTTTTCAGGTATGATGTATTAATAGATGGAAAGTTCCATGAGATGCTGGCTGAAAGGTTTTTGGTACAAAGTGTGGGGTGGGTTGGAGGTTTTCTGGTTTAAGGGGGAAAAAAAACCCCAAATAGCTAAATACTGCAGAATAATACTGAAGATTACAGAAGTAATGAAGTTACAGAATTATGAAGTTATTACACTCAGTGTGTAATGCTGGTTTGGGGCTTTGATGGAAGGTGTTGTGCCTGTTTGTCATGGTAAACACCTAACCCAAATTATCAGTACACAGTGGTAGTGAAAAACAGAGGAGCTTGTGGACAGGACCTGATGTCCTTCTCAAAACAAGCAGAAACATGAAGCCTCACTTTGGGCGCCAAAATATTTGAATATGAATCCCAATATCACCAGGTAGATTGTGCCTGGGCCAGTCTGACCCTTGCTGCTGGGCCAAAGGCGGCTACTGTGGTGTGTCACCCCAGAGACACCTTTAGCTTGCTGGTGGTTGCAGCTGGGCAGCTGAACAAGTCCAGGCTTGTTAGGAACTCCGTTTACCTCAGGAGAGAAGGCTTCAGGCTATGGTGAAGAGAAAGGAGACGGATTCTGGTGGAGGGTTGATATCCAGAGCTTTATTCCATGGTCACAGAGGTCTGAATCTTGGCAACAGCTCCAACAGAATCCTGAGCACATGGTCCGATTGCCCTTTTAAGCTCCGGGGGAGGGGAAGGGAAAGGACAGGTGTGCCACCAACCAGGTGGGAGGGGGAGGATCTCAAGGGATGAGGGACACCTAGACAGGCCAATGATCCCCAGGCTTGAAGGGCATCCTTTGAAAGTGACCAACCATAGGCGGCCATGCTGGAATGTTAAGCCTGATTGACAGAACTCACTCAGCAAGGGGGCGAGGGGGAAGGGAGAGAGGTATTGGCACACCTGGGGAAGGGACCCGGAAGTTTAAAACAGGATATTATAACACACTGCAACAGAAACACAAACCAGTTTTTATTCAATGCTGATCCTTGTAAAGCTGGGCAGGATATCGGAGGTGAAGAAGCCCACTTGTAGAGTTTTCCTTTTTAAGTTGCCAGGGGCAGCAGGGTAAGCTCTGAGTTCTGGCCAACAGAAGTGGCTGAGTTAATTTGAGGAGGCTCTGGAAGGGTATTGCCTTCTGTTGTGTACAGTGTTTTATAGGAGCTACCTTCAGAGAGTTTAATGCTGCATCAAAAATCAGCATTGAAAAAGTATGCCATGCTCTGTCGAGTGATGTTTGTCCTTGAAACAGGACAAAAGGAGCAGTGTATGGCTCAGGACATTGTGTTGTCTGTCAGTCCCCTGGCAGTGTTCTCTGACAGTGGTTGTAGAGGAAGGGGTTTTGTTGGTAAATGCATTAAAGATACAAAATTGTAGGAAATGTAATTAGCATGAGTAGACTAAGATTGCCATGAATACATCTAGTTAAACAGGCCAGAGTGAGCTGTAGGGTTTCAGTCTTGATGTCACTGAACTCAAAAGTCTTTCAGGACTTTCAAAACTCACTGAAATGAAAATCTGATTCACTGGTAGGTGCCAAACCCTAACCTGCCTCGGTAATAAAAATGTTAAATTTTTCCACTTTGCTTTTGTAGCTGTTCGCCTGCCCATCACCCTAGAGTTATGTTATGGATAGTTATAAAATTACAGGAAATAAAAATTCTTACATCTGGGCTTGACTGCATTGAAAGCTGAATTCATTTAAACTTGTCAGATGAACATCAGAAATGTTTGGGTTTATAAATTATGACTTTGCATACACTGCAGTCTTTTGTGTTGTGTATTTACAGGCCTGGTTTAAATCTCCTTTAGTTATTCTGAGTTACAAAATGAAAGCTAAGGAGATTTAATTGTGGTCTTAATAAGTGCAGAGAAGTGGGATTCTGAGCATGTAGGCAAATCCTTCCCGGAAAAACTGCAGGTCACAAGCCGTAATTCTGAACTTATAAATGGCTGTGAAAATGCTGAGGTAGGCATGGGAGTGGAGTCATGGAGTATTGAAATGCGCCTCTGGAACGAGCACGCAGGAAAAATCACCTTCTCTGCTTTGTGACAGGATCTGTTGGGCGGATCCTGGCCCGGGACAGGAGGGCTCGGATGCGATAGGAAGGGCAATAGCATCGTCTCGTGGTTAGGCAGGAGTCCATAGCCCTTCACGGTTTTTTCCTTCAAAAACCTTGGAGATTGTGTCGTTTAAAAAAAAAAACAAAAAAAAAACCCCAAAAAACAAAAAAAGAAAAAAGAAAAAAACCCCAAAACAAACAAACAATCAAAAAAAAAAAAAAAAACCCAAAAAACAAAACCAAAAAAACCCAAACAGCTGTGTTTTTCATGAGCAAATATTATGGGGATAGTATTCAACAGTCATATTGCCGCCGAAAAGTTCAGAAATTCTTCAGAACTCTGAAATCCTGCAGCTCATTCTGACTTGTTTAATGAGCTTGATATACTCACGACAATTTTAGTTTGCTAATGCGAATTATATCTCCAGTAGAAAATGTTTTTAAATTTTTTGTAGTATTTCACAGCAAACTACCTGCTACTTATTTCACATTCCCCAGTTCAAATTTGTTAATATTAGGAAGATAAACCTGATATTTCTCTATCTTTCTAGGTATAGAGTAGAAATGTTAGGAAATGTAGAAAACAGTTAATTTTTGTTTATTTATTTATTTATTTATCTTGCATTCTAAAGGGAAGAAAACTGTCTTGCTGGACATTCAAACCTAGAGGATTACCTTAAATTTAAATGAAATTCATATGGACAATGGGGATTCTGTAGCAGTGATTTCGTGGAGCTGCAGTGTCCAGTAATTGAAGTAATGCTTCCAGCCTGCAGCTTAGTTCAATTTCTGTATGCAGAAATTGAGTGGGGACCAGATTATTTTATTCTACTGAGGACTTCATATTTCACAAGTTTTTAAAGTAATTCAGTTTCTAGATAGTAGCAAATCCTTTTCAGAATACCAGAAATCAAAATTATTTAGTCTGTGGGACTAGCTGTTTCTAAAAAACATCTGATTTGAAGTTTGAGCAATCAAAATCATAACAAAAATGTCCCCTGTTTGGGGACAAAAGTTCACCCAATGCACTCCGTTTCATTGCCACGGAGCTGGGAGACAGAAGAGATTGGAAGGGCTGTAGTCTTTTAGGGAAAGATGTCCTGTGGAGATCTGGTATTGATTTTAGTGTTACCACAGAAGATCATGTTCACAGTGATTTTTTAGCCCAACATAGATTTCTTGATGGTGAATCAAAAGCATCTCTGCTGTTGGGTAAGCACTTCTGTTGACATGTGCTGGCGTCGTAGATTTTAAAATTCTAACATCATCTTCTGATGCAGTCTCCATTTCTCTGTTGAACTCTCAACTGCAATACTTTATCATAGAAAAAGTGCCTCTTGGCATATTTATTTATTTATTCCTTTACCTGCTTACCTTTAGGAAACTAATGCTGCTCTGCAAAGCATTGCCAAGAAGCTGAAGGACATGGAGGCAGAGCACAATGGCTGCGCCAAGGTGCTGAGGCTCCAGGCCAACTCTCTGGAAATCAAGAACAAACGGCAGGAGAGGCTCCTCAAAGAACTGGAGGTAAAGCTTTCTGCCTGCTGCTGGGAGCCTCAGCAAGCACTGGCACAACTGAGCAGTGTCATTTCTGAGGAGTGAAACCTCTGAGTCAGGTTATGAGTGCCCTGTGTTTGGTTAACAAAATGTGGAGTGTCACTTCGCAGGAAATGTGGATTCACAGGTGAATGCTGTGAGCCCGACCTGAGAGTGGTGTTTGAACTGCAGATGGAAAGGGGTTTATGTCACTGGGAAAGCAATCTTAGCAATACAGATGTATAGAAGAAGAATTTGTGCAGGATTTGTGAGTTTTTTAAAAGTTTTTATTTAAGCATGTTAAGCAGATAGGTCTTGTGGGAGGAGGCAAAGCTTAAGCCTTTTGGCTGATGCTTTTGTGGAGGGGGTTTGGTGATCTCTGTGCTGTGGCTTTTTCTTTAATAGGCCTTCCACAGATCTCTGTTTCTCAATTATTTCCTTTTGTGAATGTGCGGGCTTATACAGAGTTTAAATTTATTGCCAACAGCTAGTATGTAAATTTTATTTATTTATTTATTTTTAAGTTAACATTTCCCTAACTGAAGTTCTTAGAGTTAGGATTCAGTCTCACATACTTGCTACTTTGCTTTTCCTGTCCAAAATCAATGGCTTTACTTGTATCTGTGTAACCTTGAGTGTCTTAAATTACTTTTAATATTAATGTCCTTTTCTTCATCTTTGTGGCATCACTTGAAGGCAGGAGTCATTTTGGGGTGTATTGTTCTTTTCAAATCAATCATCAGTCAAAGTGAGAGGATGTTTTTGATAGGAAAGAATGTAATTAAAATTTCATGTGAATTTCTATTACAGCAGCTCTGTAGTTACTGCTTTTGCTAAAAACATTTTTTCAATTGAAATATCATGTCCAGGCCTTTATGTAGAGACACGTATCTGTGACTATAAAAACTGTAGCAAGAGCATAATCCTACATCAATTTCTTTAACTAAATAGAAAGTATTACTTTGATATTCTGGATATGTAATGATTTCGTTTCATTTGTTTATTGGCATGAGTTTTCACAGTTCCAAAGTGCAAGTAGTTCAGATATCACAGGTTGGTTTATGGAGTCCTAATAAACTGAACAAATAAAGTTGTCTTTGCATGATGTTATCATCTTTCTGGACTTAAATATTTTTAAAATGTACTTTTAGGCAGCTGCAGTGAAAATAAAGGAACTGGAGGATGATGCTGCAGCAGCAAGACTAGCACATGTAGAATGTAAATACACAACAGATGTCATGCAGGTAAACTTTTGATTAAATATTTGGTGGAAGTTTGCAGTAAAATAGAAGATGGACTTGTAAAGGTGCAATCTTCCAAAAATGTTAAGATTTCCTTGCTCCAGTGAAAACACTGAGTAGATATTTTTGCAATGATTGTCAAGACTGTAAAAGGTAATAGAAAAACATCTCCTTTATTTCTAGGGAACTGTCAAGTTAATAGAATCAATATTAAAATAAAATGTCACATTCTTATGTTTTAGAATTCAAAGTAGCATTGAAACAGTGAGGGGAAAGGAAATGTTTCACAATAGTTAAACTGCTAAAATATTCTGTCCTATATCTCTGGAATGGGCACTTATATAATTTCAGAGATAGAGTGTACTCACCCAACTTCTCTAGGTGTGAGATATTAATGCATCCTGAGGCTGCAGTTCCAAATGTAAATATTCAGAGTTCATTTCTGCTATTACATCTGCTGTTACCAGAAAAGTTTGAATATATGAAAAAATGCTATATGTATACTTGAATATTAAATTTTTGTATCACTAAACTGTGTCACATAGGGTTTGATCCATTAAAGCAATTAGGATTTATTAAAAAAAAAAAAGTGAAAAACCTGAAAGATGATTGCTGAGTGATCTTTTGATCTGCTGAGTGATCTGACTAGCAGTGGAATTTAGAAACACTAAATGAGAAAACAAAAGGGAATTTCATTAATTTTTTCTTATTTTCTGAGGAACTCAAAAAAGCATTTCCACTTCTTCAGTCAGTTATTTTTTTATTACTTTTTCTAAGTACAGGCACTTGGATTTCTGAAGTGATGATTAAATAAGTAATGATGATGCAGGTTTTTTTATTCCTTCTCTACTTTTACAACATACAAAGGGAAAGGTAACATTCCTGGAAGTTAGAGATTTCTCTTCTTTGGGTGAAGAACACAGCAGGTTTTCTTTCTTGTTTATGTACATGAACAAGCTCCACATGAGCTTTGCTCTGAGTGCAAGTGTAGCTTTTACTGTTTATCCTACACTTTCATGAGCCTACTTAATGAATAGAATTCCCCTGGAAAACTTCAGTAATATAAATAATTGAAATCAGGAAAATCCAAACACCACGCAAGGACAACAAAATGTGCTTTTGGTTGGCATATCTATTTCTCTCTGTTTTGAACTCTATGTATTAATACATTTCTGTGTGTGTTCAATGCTTTCTGATTCCATACAGAATTAATAGAATATATTCACCTGTAAAAAGCAGAACAGAGCAGTGAACAGCATTAAAGACCGTGGTAATCTTTCCTAACTTCCCTTAACTGCTTTCTTAACATTTGCTAGTTGAGAATTCAAGAACTCGAAGACATTTTGAATGAAGATCAGCTCGGCAGAAGACAAGCTTTGCCAGAAGGGGTAGCAAGGGACGATTTCAGAGAGCCAGTAAATGCTCTTGAGACAGGAAAAAAAGCGTAAGTTTCCTTTTAAAGCCATTCCAAAATGGCAGTAGACAGCTTGAGTACAAAATAGAAAATTCCCTGCAATTTTCAGTCAGCAGAAAATTCTAGGGCAATGGGACAAACCAAGCTAAAGGTTCAGAATCTGGCAGTCCATTAATAACAGGCCCATATCAGTAACCAAAGCTATTGTGAATGGTACAGATAATAACTGGCCTGCTACAGATTATTTGCCAAACCAAAAATTTTGAAAATCGAATTTATGGTAGGGTCCAGCCTCCAGTAGTGTTTGGGGTGAGTGTAGGAAAAGATATCCAGCAGATATCCAAAAGATGTCCAATTCTTATATTATTATGAAAACATTGTTTTCCACTTCAATGAGTCAGTTGGATCTCTAAGACTCCTGTCAAGAAGTTGGGTATCATTTATAGTGGGTAATCTTTGTTTTCAACTTTTGAATGACTGTAGAAAGCTTGACATGGTTAAAAAACATTGAAAAGTGTGAGAGCACAGGAAATCTCTTGGGATGTTTCCACAGCACAGTCTGCTGTGCCTGTGGTAGCAGAACTTGGGTGACCTCTCTTTCAGCCTAGAACTATTTGGGTCTGTATACACAGGTGTTTCTTTTGACTTACTCACACAAGGAGTAGTGGAGAAGGAAAAAAATCAGTTTTCCCACAAGAAAGGAAGTTTGTGGCCCGAGCAACTCGTTCAAGATTCATGATTATGGACATGTTTTTAGTAAGATACTTCAAACTTGAGCTGGAAAAACCTTTGTCATCCTTTGCAACCATCATTTTTAAGCAAGCTTTTGGCTTTCCTGATACCATGCCTAAATACTTAGGCAATCTTTTAAAATTCTTCCTTGCATTCCCTCTCTGTGCTTCTGTGTCGTTTATGCTGTTGTTTTGCCTTGTAGTTTCCTCATCAGCTGCCTGTTTAGTCATGCCAGGCTCTTGGTATATCTGTTTTCCTGACTGACACAGTACAAGAACAGATTAAAATTCTGGGTAGCTTGCTTTCAAAGTCAGACCAGAGTAGGGTCAGGCATGTGGAAATCTTAAGAGCAAGAACTGTACTTGAAATGAGGACTGATGATGCAACATGTGACATGGTCTCTCTGAAGACAGTTGTTGTGCTAATTAAAATATGAAGAATTCTGTTTGTTATATGTAACTTTGAGGCCACATCCAAAAAATCTTATGAATTGCATGACAGCAGGCTTGGTAACTGAAAATATAACCTCTTGAAAAATCTTTCTTAGAAGGAATATCAATTTCTTCATTCAATTAAGAAAGGCAAGCAGCTTCAGGATCCATGTGATGTGCTAAAGTGGTATCTGCCATATCCATTGATTATCATTTAAAAGAACATAGAGCATGCGACAAAAGTAATTTTGGTTAAAGTATCTTTTTTGTGGAAACTTTCCAGTTCACCAAGACAGCATATAACCTACGGTATGGAATGGAAAGACAAGGTTGAGGCCATGAGGAGAGCTCAAGATCCCAATGCCACAATAGCGGTTCCTCCAGACAGCTTCAGCCTGCATGAAGGCTCAATAGTAAGGAAAAAAATCCTCAATAGTAAATTGCAAATACAAATAAAAAGTGCTCAATAGTAAGGAAAAATATGTGACACACATTGTTGAGGTGTTTTAAAACATACTGTCAAAATATTTACTGTGGTGAGGATTTGCTGCATTTGCTGTGCTGAGCTGCGGAAGAACTCTGCCATTGTCTCACCCTTTTTGTTATTATGTTACCTTTAAAAAAATTTACTACATGAATAAATGTAACCAATGACTTGGAGAAGCTAATTTGAAAATATTTTTAAAGTATGGGTAGGATGTACTGGCATTCCTAATTAAGGCATTTTGTAGATATTGATTATCATATCATGTGAAGAATGTTCTTTCTACCTAACTTTTTTGTCAAGTTTCATTAGCTACCATTGTAGAAATGCTTATTTCTATTTCATACACCTTTTTAGTTTTAGTGCAAGTATTTAACTGTAAAAATTGCTTGAAAATTGTTTCAAGCTTTCAGGTGGAAAAGCAGAGGGGATTTTTTTCTTGTTGTTTTGTTTTTTACTTGGTTTGCTGTGGCTTTGGCACATTGGATGTATTTCGCTGGATTATTTTCTGAAAACTTTCTCCTCTTATGGGACCACTTTGGGCTTTTCTACTGTCTTTACCCAGCTACACCTTGAATAACAATTTTGTCATCGTTTTGCATAGCAGCAGGGACAAAGGAAAGTTGTCAGCATGTTTAGAAAATCTCTCCTTTGATAGTGTGGTAACATCTGCTCTCTTTCTACTCTTAGCAATATAAATATTTTTTTGCTGGTGGCTTGGAAACTTCTCTTTCTCTCTCAGAGCTCTGAGCATGGAAGGTACATGAGGTCTGTTTCCTGTGGACAGGAGCAGAGACCTGCATCAGAGAGTCTTCAGATTTGTGGGTGTCTTTTGTTCAGTTGATGGAGTGATTCCACATTTTGTCTCAGTGCTGTCCACTGCCCAGGCAGATCTGTGATTCATAAGCTGGAGACAAATGAAATCAGGATCTTCTTTTTTCTTTCTGGGAGAATAACAGCTTCTTCCCTGCAAGCATTCATGTATTAAAAGACATTTGCTGGCCTAGTTAGGCTGAGAAAGTAATTTCATCAGGCACAAAAGGAATACATCCAGAGAAAAGCAACTGTCTGTCCTAACTACAGGCATTAATGATTGCTATTTATAACTACAAAACACAATTGCAAGCTGAAAATATTCTACTAAAATTCTTGCTTAACCTAAAGTGCTTGCTAGCTGTTGCTGTGGCAGAAGTTTTCCTTTTAATTTGTATTCCTTAGTAAAATATATGACATGGCAATAATTATGGACAAGATTCCATTCATGATCAAGATTTCTTTTAATGGAAACAGTATTTAATGGTAGACTCAAAATTAATGTTATATTATCGCAAGGTTAAAAAATAAAGGGTTGTCTCACTGTCATATTCATAGAACTGGTTGTTTTAATTGTTTTACTCAAAGGATTTCAAACCACAAGACTGTCCTGAGCAGGTGATAAAAATGTTCATTTTTGGAAGAGTTGTATTAGTAGTTGTCTTATGAGATCAGGTATTTATTGCCTTGGATGGCTTTGCATTTTCCCAAAGCTGTTTGTATTTGTTTGGGAAGCAGAAGTGCCTGTAGGTGGTCCTGTTTACTCCATTGAGACAGCTCTGCTTTTGCTTCCCAAAATGAAAAAGCCGAAGACTGTAGCAGAAACTAAGTATAGATAACATTTAATATATTGCTGTTAGTCTCTGCTATACCTATGCTTAAATTGTGTGAAAATGCCAGTGTGTTCTCTTCCATTCAGTTTCCCCTCCTGCTTTCTTGATCTGTACAGTATTTTTCCATGTTTTATACCATTTTTATGCTTCCTGAATATGTTCTTTCCACTCTAGTCTGATAATCTTATAGTGATCTCTGACTGTACTGATACAGCATTTGAGAAACAGCTTTCTATTATCTTAAGGCACTTGTATGAACTGAAAGTATGAACAATTGAATTTCTACTGCATGCTGTTGTTGCTAAAATTTATTTTTAATCAATTTAATATACTACTGATTAAAATCACTGTAAAGAAATGAGGCATGGCTTGTGGAGTTTGACTGATGGAGCTGTAGGCCCATTTTGGCCAGCTGATTAATCATATATAATCCACACAAAGCAAATTTTTAAAGGAATTTAGAGTGTATTGTGCTGCCAAGCCAAATGGACAGTTTTCTGTGTGCTGTGCAAGTGTTGGGGGACAATTTGGAGGCACCTCAAGGTATTAACATGGGTGAATGAATTGCATCCACTAAGAGCATGGAAATTTTTAGCTGCCAGGTCATGGTTGTGGCTCCCACAGGACTGGGATTTACTCACATACTTTATTTACATACTGTGTCTAACTAGATAAATTTTGTGAAATCTGTTTTCTTACTCTGCTGTAATATTATGGCTGCAATTATTAGAAATGAACTGAGGAATTTTGTAAAGCTGTGAGAATGAACCTTAAGGGCTCGTTTTCAGCTGTGCTCAGCGCTGCTACTGCACATATGATGCATCTCTTTTGATTTTAACATTGCCCAGCTACAGCAATTAATTTTTTTCTTTGTGTTCCAGAGGGAGATGTCCATCCTCCTGAACTTATACCAGACCCTGGCAAACGCCCAGGTGCTTTCCAGACAGACAAACGTCCCCCTGGAAGAATTACCTTGGACAGAGCTTTGTGCGCTCTTGCATGAGAATGTTGAAGCCCTGGTCTCGAACTTCAACAATGCTAAGCAGAGGGTGAGCGTCCCCAGGCATCAGCTGCCTCTGCTGAGCTCAGTGACTTTTATTCACACTGCAGTCTCGTTAAAAAGGACTGATATTCATGCCCCCAAAAAAGGATTTGGACACTAACAAATGAGCACCATTAATGATGGCTTGTCCACTGCTCAGTTTGTTGCCAGGGGCATTTAGATGTGAGTGGAGTGTGCATCAAGTCTCCCAGCTCCACCTTCTGTGCAGGATATTCTGAAAGGACAATCTGATAGTAGCCACAGGGACCTAATTAAAAGACAATAAATTCATCTTACTGAGGAAGAAATTCACTGAACATAGTCATTTACAGTCATAAATCAAATCTTTATTTTACTGTAATCCAGAGGCAAAATACACTTTCTCAAGGAATATCACCTTGTAATTATGTGTTTATGATTCAGATGTACTATTTGAAAGAATGCCAGTGTGGGGTTTTTTTGTTTAATTGTAATTTTGGATTATGACATTTTTATTCAGAAACAAACAGAAATACCTATTCTAAAACATGTCAGGATCTGTATGAAGGAGGAGCTGTACTTTTCTGAAAGGTTTTGAAGCAAATGAGCTTACATGGCTTTTCTCCCCAGAAAACCTTGTGGTTTTAGGAAGGAAAAAGCCCTTTCTAAAATAACTCAGCTGGCTCCAGAGGCTAAGCTATGCCTAAAGAGCTCTTTAGGGTATCACTTTGTGTTCTGGTTTATTTCTCTTTTGAAGTAGATGAGGAAAGGGAAGGGAAGGTGAACACTGTTGGCAGTGTTTGTAGGGCTTGTGTCTTATTGTTGCTTGCTATTTAATTAAGGATTGTTATTAAGACTGATTGTGAGGTCTCTAGGGCTCTTCTCATGTACTTAGCAGCTTTTCTGGGATTTTAGACTGTGCTGAAAAACCTTTTTTTCCACACAATTCAGTGTGATCTATCTGGAAGTATCTTGATATTTTCTAGGAACAGAAAGTTGAGGTGTGTGCATTTGGGGATCATTGTTGGCTTGGTTCATTCCTCCATTTAGCTTGCATGAGAAGTGCAGTGTTAAAGCACAAGAGTGAATCCCTTCATGTTTGTTGAAAATACAGCATAAACTTATGAGCTATTTGTAAGGAAAAAATTCTCTGTGCTAGAATTCCCTGAAATTGTTTTAAAACTTAATCATAACCTGGAATGTCTTGACTTTTCAACAAAAGAAAAAAATCAAAAACCACACACAAACAAACAAAAAATTAAAGGCTGTGTTTTAATTATTGTTTGCAATCATCACAAATTTCTAAAGGATATACTTGAATTACTAATTTACTAAAACTGAATACAATCATTTAAAATAAAAAAGTTATGAAGTCTCTGGCTCAGGTTTCCTGCAAAGAGGGTGACAAGGTGGTAGAAGGCAAAACCGAAACCAAAAAATATATTTCAGTTTTGTTTTGAGAACCAAGTAATTTATCTGCCATGAAAGGGTTTTACTTAGTTTTAATAAAATATTGAAAAAACTGCAGTTTAGATTTTATGCTGGAATTGTCTGTGCTTAACTTAAAGTGAAAAGGTAAATAATAATTTCTTCTTAAATGCTTGTCACACAGATATCTCACCTAGAATATATGTGCAAGCACAAGACTGAAACTATGAACAACCTTCAGCAGAACCAGGAGGATGCTTTGGAGAAAACGTCTGAACAGTTAAAAGCACAGGAACACTGGTCGCAGAAAGAAAAGCAATATCTTGAACAGCAGTACTCAAACGCCCTTGCAGAAATTCATGCAAGATCACAGGTATGGTGCTGTGAACTTCTAATTTTTTTTTTCTTTAAAAATTGAATTGATTATTTCAATAGTTAAAGCCTGTTAGCAGTCAAAGGTCATTTGGGAATTTTAGTATACGTTTAAAGTTTAAAAAAATCCAAAACCAAACAACAAACCAACCCATCCCTGTGCTAATATTAACATCACTTAAAAAAAGAAATAAATTACTTGGATGAAGCATTTGTTGAAGAGAATTTAGTCTTCAGGCCCAGCTGAGAAGCCTGATTTCATCTGCAGATAGCAGTATTCTTTTTCTGAGAATGTTAAAGCTGTAAGATCAACTTTGCTTGTTTTAAGAATTACTGATGGCAGCAGCTACTTTTTCAGCATCATCATTTGCAGAGATTGTATAGAATAACAATAATGTGGTATCACCTGGGGATAAATTTAGTTACGTATGTACTGACCCTAAGAGCAGTGGTAGATTTCAATGGTGTCAAGCAATTCTGTTTTTCTGATACTACAGTGAGGAGTGGCCTAAAAGTGTGAAACTGTCACTCCTTGTTAGATGAGTTATTTGCAATCCAAAATGTTCCCTGTTATTCCACAACCACCATTTACTGTCTTTATCATCACACTCCTTCACGCCTGTTTCAATTAAAAGCATAGTGAATAAAGGAAATAGATGTCCCTTGTTATTTGTGAGTTACTGCAACTTACTTTACAGAATAATGCTGTATTTGATGCAGATTTCAGGACTGGAAGTCTCTGCATGCTGAAAAATTCAATCTGTCAGCTTTCATGTTCCAGACTTCCTGATGTTTTTCCTCTCACTTACACTGGCTTTCTGCTCGGTACAGCAGTGTTTTCTCTGAAATTGGAGGATGTTATTAGTATTGTTAAGGCAATTAATAAAACTGAATTGTGGGCAGACAGGTGGTGTTGGACCTTCTGTGAGCTGTCACGGTGTTGGTGGATTGTTTTCAGAAATCAAGAGTCCATTTGCAATTGATTATCATGTAAATTTCCCTCCTACCACTGTTTTTGTTTCATTCATCTTATTCTGTAATTGCTTACTAGAAGAGACACTTTCATCACGATTATTACTAACGACTTTTGCTCCTTTAATGCATCATTTGAATGGCAAAGCTAAATTTTCTTTTCATTCTTGTCTAGGTAAAAACCATGTAGTTAATGTTTCGTCCATTATAGTTTGGTTTGTTTCTGTCACAGGAATGTGAAGAAACGGTGCAGAAAAACAGGCAAAAACTCTATGGCCTTGAACAACTCTCTGACAAACTGGCCCAGGAAAACAATACCTTGAAAAATTCATTATTAGATGCTTTCAAGTCACGCTCATTCCTGCTGGCAGCCTCTGCACTGCTATCAGGGGCCCTGTGCTCTCTCTACGGCCGACTGTGCGCCATGTCTTGCCAAAGAGACATTCTCCAGGAACAGGTGAACCAGCAACAACTATTGAACCACAAGATCGTCAGCCTCCTTTATGCTCTCCCTGCTGTCATGGAAAGAAACCAGGACGAAGTCAGGACAAGGCAAAGAAGAGCCAAGAACCTGACTTATGTTTTCCGAAGAGCTGTGATTGTAGCTCTGGCTGCCAACAGGCTGAGGGGTCTGGCCCGATATTCTTGTACCTTTTTTGTCTGGTCAGACGGATGCAGAGGAAGCCCTGGAATTCAAGTTTGTCTGGGAGAATCCAGAGGCAGGCATCCTGTGACACGTAAGTGAAATGTTTTTAAAGAGTTACATCAAATTGCACATTTGGGGAATAACAAAGAGGAATATTATTTTTAGTGTTGGGGCATAAAAACATATTTAATGACATTTTGACAAATGTTATTTATGGATTTATGTTTTTTATATAGCTTGATGAATGTATTTCACTATAAGAGGAAATGCCTAGTCTTAGGTTAAGAATTGCAGGTAAAAGTTCAGTTATGCTCATGAACTCAACATTATCTGATATTTTTGATATTTGTGTTATGGATTTCAGAACTAGGTGCTACAGCATCTTCCCTGTGGTAATTATCTTGCAATGTTCCTAAACGATTTTTCTTTTTTTTGGAAAAGGTATTTCCTCTTTTTTTAAAAATAATTTTTAATATTTATTTCCTAAAAACCCACAAAAATTGCTTTCTGATTCAGGTAAAACATTAGCATAGGATTTCAAAATTTTCTTTAGAGATTATGTCTATTTGCCCCTTTCTGTTGCCAGACCAGTTTATATTTCTCTCTACAAGGATAAATGGTATTAAAAATGTTTTCCAAATTAGAAGATTCATCTACTTTTTTTTTTTTTTTTAATGTCATTCAGGAAGCATGCTTCAAACAGTCTAAATTGTCCTGACTAATTTCTTGTTTATATGCTTATTTTTGGTCAATTTCTTAAAGAGCTGGAGGCAGCAGTGTGCCATATTTTTGTGATTTATTTATCCTGCTAGCTGCACTTCTGTTTTACAGGTTTTGGAGAGGAAGGAGTTGACTGTATTGAAGCAATTAACTGGTTGTGTAGCTCTAACCTCTATACTGCAATGATCAATTCTATCTCAGATCTGGAGGGTGTTCTCAACAACCAAGGTAATTTTAACTGCATATTGTTGTAGCAGAAATACATTTAAAAAATAAATAAGTCAGGGTGGTCATATAATTTCCATTTTTATGATTTTATCTAAACTATTCTGTTTAGATAGCTCTGAAGAGATATTTCTGAATATTTATGATAGACACCTTTGGCTAGAAGTTATGTCCTGAGCTAGTCAATACAAATTTAAGTGGGGCTGTTTCCCTGAAAGAGTAATTTTACTGCAGGCTAAAATAATAACCCTTTTCTACATTCTCTGAATGATCACATTTCTGTACTGTTGGAACAGATTAATTTTCTTAAACAGCTGATAGGATATTTTATCCTTTCGGTATATAGAGGCCATGGAAGCAGAGGGCTGTTTCTGGAGTTTATTTACAGTGAGAACTGATACAGGTTCCCTTGATTCATCTGCATTTCCGCCACCCCTGGTTCTTTATTAACCTATAGTTTTAGAGTCCCCACATTTTTGTCACAGTAAAAAGGATAGTAGAAAAGGGATAATTTATGTGAATAAAGGGAAATAGCAGGAGAAAGACAAGGTGATGCATTTTCCAGAAGCCTAAACACTACATTGGTATAAAAGTTGACATTGAATCAAGTGTGTTTAGATTCAGTTTCAGGCACTTTCTTCTTTGATCATGCTCTTTTCAATAAATTGAATTCATATCCTTTAAAAGCAAAGTTTGAACAGTGTTTCAGATTCAGCATTCTGTGTTTCAGAATATTTACAGGTTCCATCCTGTAGAAGTGAAAACGAACATGATATTATAAGAAATGGGAACTAATAACCTGCTTGATGTTTCCTTTTTGTTGTTTTTTTCTTAAAGATTCAGAGCTGTGGCTTTCTAGTAACTCGCTGATCGGCACAGCCAGGAACTGCTTTGCAAAACTGATGGACAACCTGAGCGTTCTGATGGAGACAGTTCAAGGGAACACTCGTGGGTGCAGAGCCTTCCTGGAGAGGGACTCCCTGATAGACAGGCTGGCTCGTGGGCTCCGCAGACTAAATGCCCAGGCCCTGGAAGCTGGATTGCATGACAGACTGCCCAGCACAGTAAGCAGACTTGCAGTCCTCCTTCATGGAAACAGAAGGTTTACAGCAACATTGAAGCTCCCTTGATAGCAGCATTTCTTTTGTTTCAGACTGCTGATGAGTCCATGAGAGTGAAGTGCTACTATATGGACACTCAGAAGTTGATTTGTCACACATTAGGGTGTGAATAGGTCTTTTCTTTTATTGAGAAAGAATTTTTGGAGGAGGTTTAGTGTATCCAAGTAAAAGATTTTTTTTAAGTTCTATCAGATCTGCATTAGCTTATAAGCACAAATTTGCTTTTGGCTTGATGTAAATGTTAAGGTTGCTTTTTATTCTTGTTTTCTACTTTCTCATGTTTACCATCCTTTCTTTCAGTAAAGATAACCTTCTTCCCTTTAACCAAAATAAAAGGATAAACTCTTTCCCTAATAATCTTTTCTAGTAAACCTTAGGTGAAAATAGTACTTCCTTGTAAACAGAATTTGCAGTTACCCTTGGTAGGTGACAGGTTCAAACTTTTGTCCTTGTGTATGTCTTTTAGAGATGGAGGAAAAAATTATGTTTTGTCTTCTTTTTCTTGAGTCTTAAATATTATTTATTTTATTGCTAAAACAGCAGATTTTATAGCCCATCAACCTGTTTTTGTTTGCTGACAGAGAAACATAGCAACTTTGCAGCAAGAAATATTTGAATTTTCACGAAGGCTTCATGCAGCAGAAGTAGAGTCCCGCTCACTGTACCTGCAGCTTCAAGAATGCAGATGGGCTTTCAACAAGATGCAAAAGGATGCTGAAAAAACCCACAGACTGCAGACCCAATTAAGTGAAGTTCAGCAAGTAAGTGCATTTGACTTGGAGGCTCTCTTGCTTAAAAGAGACTCTCCTTTCTACACATGTTTTGATTTGTGTTCTTTTGGAAAACAAGCATCAAATTGATTTACTTTCAACAGAATTTTCCAGAAACCTTGCCTTGTAAATGTCACTAAACCAGAAGACAGATTTATTTAGAAATATCTCTTTTCCACTGGAGCTATCTTTTGATTTGTAGAAGGAGGTATCCTGTATAAATTAGAGTTTGGTCTTCAGTGATGCCGAATTTTGCCCCAAAAGGTGATAATAAGCTGCCCAGAGACTAGATTTGAGGTCTATAGGCAGGAGGTATTTATTGACAACGCGTTGGAGAAATCACCAAGTGGATTTCTAAATTAGGTACAGCAAAAGCAGGTTTTTATACAATTTTTGAACAAGAATTACATCATTTATTACATGCATATTCATAGGCAGGTAGGAATATAGGCGGAGTCTTCCGGGAACTCTTGGTCTTCCTTAGTTAAATTTTAAGCTTCTCCTAATTTGGGCATCTTCCTGTCATCCTTGGCGTGTTTTTCCATGACTTGGCAGAAATCACTGTTGCACTTGGCTTGATTCTGACGGCTTGGCAGGTCACCTTAACTTTTTGGCTTCTACTTTCGCTTCTTCAAATATTCTAATTCCAAAGTTTCTTTTGTGAGTGTATTTTAGATTATTTATTAACTTATCTAATCAAAGTTTTCCCAAACAATGTATTTTAGGTTATTTATTAACTTCTGTGTTTCCCTTGATAGAGTGTCTTTTAATTCTTTTATTCCTCAGATCTTTTAATTCTTTTATTCCTCGGAAACTACTGTTCATTGTAATGAATGGCTTCATTCCCCCCTTTTCTTATAACTTACGAATTCTTTCGTCAAATTCTAATCCTATAGGGCGCTGGTACGCTCGTACCATAGCCCAAATCATTTGGGTCCTTTTCATTATGATTCTTAGTCTCCACCACATACAAATATTTGTGAGAGTTAATAGTAACAGAACTACAACTACTATTAGCATTGGGTGCACCAGGTAGTTAAAGACCTGTGTAGCTGTTGGGGAGTATCCTGTGAAGATATCCCACCAATGATGCTGGCCTACTTGTTCTACTTCGGTCAGGACATCCTTTATTTTTTCTGAATTATGTTCTACCTGCCATACCATTCGTTTAGTTGTTTGATTCACCTTTCGCACCAATTTCTCTATTTTAGGATGTGCAAGTATTGCTTTAAGAACTTTGACGTCCATCCCTATTTGTAATTTCGGTATCTCTTGATATAGGTTGAAATCTGCGTTAATTAGCTGTTGAGTCGTTATTGGGACAGTATAATGAAAGTCACAACCTACTATCTTGGTGAAGTTGCATACACAGAAGTTAGTGTTATTAGTCTCTTCTTGGCAATTATCTATAGTGATGTTGTCACAAGCTGTCCTCACGCAAGCGCACCCATTCCCTATATAGTATACTTGTGATTGTGTTCTATTATGCGGAAGCATTTCAAAAGTACATATACTATTCTCGGCATCTAAGCATAAATCTTCTGCTTCTACTACAGCGTTTTCGCAGATATAGCCTAATTGTCCTCTAGGAATGCATGCATCTATACTAACCGATTGCCATCTATTTTTGGAATTATCATAACTGGCCCAGACATTATGGTCTATTGGCTTAACAATGATATCTTGATGTATTGTCCCTAGAGTGAGGATAGGAAAGATAGCTCTTTCCTCTGCCGCGCTAATGGTGAGGACATAGGCTTCAATGTGTTCTTGTTGAGAGTCATAAGTGAAATTTACTAATTGCCACCAGGCTTGGTGGTCTTTTTCAAATTGTGTAGTATGATTGTCTTTTAATATTGTTTCTCTGATTTCTTGAGGTAATATACCTGCCGTTCCTTCTCTCATTATTCCTGCCGCTACTGATTGTACCCATTGTTGCGTCTGAGGGCATTGGATAGCTAGTGCTATTTCCTTGCTAAGTTCTCCTGTATAGTCAGCGAATTTCACAAAGTCCTCTGCAGTGTGGTTTGCTACCATGGTTAGCAATTTTACTACTAACGATTGTGTTTCTGCTAAGGTAAGTATGGATGAACTGAGGGGCACTTTAAGCTTTCCTAAGTTTGACGTGACGGTACTTAATTTGTTCACTAAAACCTCTTGGTCTATCGTATTTAATATACCAAATCCTGTACCAATCCACCCACTTAGATCTCGTTGTGCTCTTCTGTGATGAGACCTTGCTGCTAGCCATGCATTCCATCCCTTTAGGCTTTGCTGTATAAATGGTTGGCAGTCCTTCTGTAAATACGTAATATCGGTGTGAACGTTCATCTGCACCTTTTTCAGAGAATAAGTGGGGTCTAACAATAATTTTTGTTCATTAGATCTTCTAATCACCTGAGGCCCTATGAAGGTTAGGTTATGTACTGCTTTACATTCCACCGGTGGAGTGATTTCTTGGGGCAGGTCTAGGTCTGGATACAATAGGATCATGTCTCCCGGTAATGCCACCTTATATTGGACAGCACGCCTAGGGAAGCCAAAACCCCGCTCTGGCATTTTCAACTCCCTTTCGCATGTGAACGTCACCGACTGGTCCAATCTAAAGGCCATCTCACACTGCGCTCTCCCTTCCTCAGGACCACTAGATACTACGATCTTTCCTGCAGGGGAGAGAAGAGGGTGGGGGTCGAGGGTTATGTTTCGAGGATGTAGTTCCCCAAGCGAATCTTCTGTATAGATTACCGAGTTTTGGGGTTGTGTTTGTGTTCCGAGTGGATCTTCCCTAAGATCACTCCACTGACATGAAATTGGGCCCTTTTGTTGGATCCAGACAGTGGGCTTGCCCATTTTCACTGGACTATAGGTAATTAGGTTATTTTCAGAGGCTGCTATCAAGGGTTGAATTGTTAATACTAGCCGCCTTGTTTTTCCTTCTACTGGGTCAAGTTCTCGACACCCAATTTGGATTTGGTCTCCCTTATATGCTACCATGGAAGGCTGATTCCATACTTCACTCGCATATGGCTGTTGGTTATGTAAGGCATATACCTCAAAATAGGGTCCCTTCGATTCCGTTTCCAATTCCGGGTGGATACACTGGTGTGCATTAGACCATGGGTCCATTGAGGCGGAGTCTCGGGGAAGAATACTTATCAGTCCAATGATCAGGAGGGTCTGAGGTGAAGTCAGGATCATGGTGTCTGCTCCTCTTGTTTATTCCCCGGAGCTTTCTTGACCCGTGAGTAATGGATCCACGTAGGTCGCTCCTTGATCCGAACCGCGGTGAAGGTAGTCAGCAGCACTTGGAAAGGTCCCTCCCACTTTTCTTGTAGGGGTTTTCCTAAAAGATTCTTAACATACACCCAATCACCGGGATTAAATGGATGCAATTTGCAGTCAGGTTGTTTAGGCTGGTGCTCTATCACCACAGTAGCATTCTTATCGAACTGTTTCCCCACCATAATTACATAATCATAAATGTACTGATTACCGATTTGGTCTATAGCGTCTCCATTTACTGCTTGCATAGCATAAGGTCTACCATACAAAATTTCAAATGGGCTTAACTTTTCTTTTGATCTTGGTTTGACTCTCAGCCTAAGCAGAGCAATAGGCAAAGCTTGAAACCACTGCAAATTAGTCTCCTGGCATATTTTGGCAATTTGCTGTTTGATGAGATGATTCATCTTTTCCACTTGCCCACTGGCCTGTGGGCGGTAAGGCGTGTGTAATTGCCATTTGATTTGTAATGCTTTGCTTATTGCTCTTACCACTTTTGCGCAGAAATGTGTACCCCTATCCGAAGAAATGCTTTTCGGTACCCCAAACCGTGGAATAATTTCATTCAACAGCACTTTAGTCACTTCTCTTTCCTTATTTGTCCTGCAAGGGAATGCTTCAGGCCACCCAGAAAATGTATCAGTTAATACCAACAAATACCGAAACCCCCCTTTTCTTGGGAGTTCAGAAAAATCAATTTGCCATACTTCACCTGGGAATTTACCTCGATTTATGGCTCCTTGGTGTACCTTGGTTCCCGTATTCGGGTTGTTTTTCAGACACCGCTCGCACTGGGATGTGACGTGCTTTATAGTGGTAAATAATTTCGGTCCTGCTATCCTGGCTTGCAAATATTGGTAAAGCGGATCTAGACCCCAATGGGCCTTTTCATGCTCCGTCTTTACAACCTGCCACATTAGGTTCCCTGGTATTACCAACTGTCCTGTCTCTAATCGTCCCCATCCACTGTCTAACAGTTTACCTTTATTTCTTTGAATCCATCTATGATCTTGATTCCTGATAGTTTGGTTGGAGGTTTACATCCAGCTCCCCTGGTATCAGAGCTGTTATATTTGCCTTTCTGGTCCTTGCAGCAGCTAATTTAGCTTCTGCATCTGCCTTTCTATTCCCAACTTCTGGAATAGTGTTACCTTTTAGATGTCCTTTACAATGCATTATGGCCACTTGTGCTGGGAGTTGGACTGCTTCTAGCAATCGTAGAATCTCCTCTGCATGTTTGACTGTTTTCCCTTGAGTAGTCAACAGTCCTCTTTCTTTCCAGATGGCTCCATGAGCGTGAACAACGGAGAAGGCATACTTAGAGTCTGTCCAAATATTTATTCGCATGTTCTCTGCCAATTCCAGGGCTCGAGTCAGAGCTATCAATTCTGCCTTCTGGGCTGAGGTCCCTGCAGGCAAAGGGTTTGACTCGATTACCTTTTCTGTGGTAGTTACTGCATAACCAGCCATTCTTATTCCTTGTTTTACGAAGCTGCTACCATCCGAGAACCAATCATCTGCATCTTCGAATGGCTCTTCCTGGAGATCCGGGCGACTGGAATAAACGGCTTCGATTGTTTCCAGGCAATCGTGCTCGATGGGTTCTGCTGAGGTCTTTCCTTCTAGGAATGAAGCTGGGTTTACAACGTTAGTTACCTGAATAGTAACATCATCTGACTCAGCCAAGATAGCTTGATACTTTAGGAATC